TACTAATCTTGTCCATTTTACTTTTAATTAAGAGTATTTCTTTTCTTTTCTTAATTTTGTCTTGGGCATAATGAGTAGGCTTATTTCCTCATGATATTATTTTCTCTTTCAGTTGGATGTTTCACATTATATTTACTTCTTCCTAAATAAAGAATGAATAGATTGGCTATAGTTGCATGTAAACTTGTATATGTATTTTAAAGGGAAATTTGATATGTGACCACTCACAATGATTTCAAATGAGGTTTCCATTCTTTTCTAATGCTTACTTTCCTTGGGTGTAAATATATTTAAGGTATGAAGAAGTAGTAAGGGAAAGACATCATTCTTTTAGGCCTAATATTATATTTCATATTTTTTTCTGATTAAGAGTAAAGATTAAAAGTATAGTATATTGTTCAATTTTTATTTAATGAAAATTACATTTTAACTGATTTTCTTTTATAAAGACAAATAATTTTGCTAAAAAGTGAATAAAGCTTTTATTATGTTTGTTGTGAAACAAGTTTGTGAAATTACTTATATTTTGGAATAGTATAGGGTTTTGATTCAACAGATTAAAGTTTAATGTTTATCAAGTATACTTAAGTTGTAGAAAGGGCATGATTGCAGATAAATGACTTCATGCAGTTGATGTGATATATACATTTTAATTTTGTTAAAATGTATATAACATCAGAACTGAAGTTTAGCTGCATTGATGGAGAGTTAATCTATTGCACATTTGTGAGATTAGTAATGCTGGTTTGTTCTCAATTTTTTTTTCTTTATTATGAATAACTCAGTTGCCTTTGGTGCCCCCATGCATGTGGAATTAGTTTTTGCGCCCCTCATTTTCATCAGCAGGAGGGTCAGTTACCCCCTGCCAGCACGCCGCTGGTATATAGTATACTAATGATCACCACTTTATAAAATAAATAAGCAATAATAATAGTGTGTGCAGTGTGATACATTCTCTTTTCCCACATGGATGTAGTCACAATCACAATCTTTATGAGGTGTTATTATTAATTAGAACAAACCAGATATGAATCAGGAAAAAGGAGGTCTGTCATTGAATCAACTTCTTTCTTGTTTTTCAGCTACACCAGAACGTGAGATCCTTTGGGCTTGTGAGAATGGTAAACAGAGTATAATTGAAAACATCTTGGAGCATCATCCAGAGGCCATAAATGCAACCGACTCTGATGGATACACGCCGTTGCACAGAGCAGCCTACAGTGATCATGTTGAAATAGTTAAGGTAAAACTCCATTGTCTTGAATACTGTGATATTCCAGTGGGAGATGCCAACTCGTTTTAAAGTTTTGAATATGACAGCATGATAGAACAAATTAATTATTCATAAGATGTTAAGAAGCCTTTGACTTTACGTTCAGAGAGCACACTCTGTTCACTGAGATTTTATTTTATTCACATTTTTTACATCATATAGATAACTTCAGAAGTGCTGAATCACAAACAAAACAAATTTACAGAGGACATTGCATGTACCTAGTGCTAATAGATTCAGGTAAATAGCACGAGAGGAATTGATGATTGAGTGGACATTAGACACACACGCATGCACCCCCCCCCCCCCCCACATACACACACACACACACACACACACACACACACACACACACACACACACACACACACACACACACACACACACACACACACACACACACACACACACACACACACACACACATACACACACACACACACACACACAAGTACTGTTTTTAAAAGTAAATATCTGAACAAATGATCTTTGATATATTTGAATAAAGTGAATGTAGAAATAAGATTAATGGCATTGGTGATCTGATGTCTTTCTCAAATCTAAATATGGCATCAAATTTGTTTCAGTTGCTTCTTAAGTCTGGTGCGTCTGTAACAGCAAAGACAGTAGATGGTTGGACTGCACTACACTCAGCTTGCCGATGGAATCACTACAGATGCGCCGTTGTTCTGATTGAGGGTGGAAGTGATGTCAATGCAGTGTCCAACAGTGGTCAGACGCCTCTCCATATCGCAGCAACCAACCCAAAGGCTCATGAGACTTTACAGCTCTTGCTCATGAACAAGCTCATGAAACCACACATAAAGAATAGTGTTGGCGAGACGGCAGAGGATCTGGCCATCAGGAATGGACCCTATGGCTATCTGTTCGAAGTGATCAATCCAGTGTTAAATGAGTACGAGCAACAGGAGTAGGAATAGAGAATTGGATGTCAGAGGCTTTGGTCACATTTCATTAATTGCGTGACTGCTTTTAACTGAGTTTGTTATGCATTTAGGATTTATTTATATTTTTAGGGTGATTGATTTTTTTTGAAGGCCCGCCCCCCAGAGAACGCTGTTTGACTGGGAACAGACTTTATACTGACAGGTTTAGTGTAGCTAAATAAGGACTGTGAATAAAAAATGGCTAGCAGTGTAGTGAGGTACGGCTTACGCATGCGAGAGACTTTCAGCGTAGTCAACCAAGATGTGGCACAGTGGTTCCCTGGACACATGGCCAAGGGGCTCAACCAGATGCAGAGGAAACTGAAAAGCGTCGACTGCATCGTGGAAGTTCATGACGCGAGGATTCCCATCTCGGGGAGAAACCCTTTGTTCGAGCACACCCTCTCAGCAATAAAACCCCATGTGTTAGTCCTCAATAAAATGGACCTGGCTGACTTGAGGCACAGGAACAGCATTGTCAAGCACCACACCAAGGAGGGCATCAAACACGTTATTTTCACCAACTGCAAGCGGCCCGAGAGTCGCGGGATCAAGAGCATTATCCCTACCGTAGCAGAGATGATTAAGAACACGGAGCGGTATAACCGGTCGGAGGAGACAGTGTATCAGCTTATGGTCATTGGCGTGCCAAATGTTGGCAAGTCCTCGCTCATCAATGCTCTGAGGGCCAAGTACCTACGGAAAAGCAAAGCCACCCAAGTTGGAGGGCTTCCTGGCATCACCCAGAGTGTGCTGGAGAAGATAAAAGTAAGATTCTCTCTCTCTCTCTCTCTCTCTCTCTATCTCTCTCTCTCTCTCTCTCTCTCTCTCTCTCTCTCTCTCTCTCTCTCTCTCTCTCTCTCTCTCTCTCTCTCTCTCTCTCTCTCTCTCTCTCTCTCTCTCTCTCTCTCTCTCTCTCTCTCTCTCTCTCTCTCTCCTCCTCTCTCTTCTCTCTCTCTCTCTCCCTCCTCCCTCCCTCCTCCCTCCCTCCCTCCCTCCCTCCCTCCCTCCCTCCTCCTCCCTCCCTCCTCCCTCCTCCCCTTCCCCTCTCCCTCCCCCTCCCCCCTCCCCTCCCCTTTTTGTTTCTGTTATTGCCTAGAATATTTTGTCATATAATTTTCCTGTGCAGTACTGTAAACAAAAAGTGCATGTAAGGTCTTTGGTACTAGGCTAAGTACAGTAGTCTGTGAGAGGTCTAGTGATACCTAATTTAGTTTGCCTCATACCCTCTTTATCATTTGTATTACAACTGCCTCATTTCTCTTTAATCATCTCCCCCCCCCCTTTTTTTTTTTTTTGGCTAATAGGTTTGCGAAGATCCAAAGGTGTACCTCCTGGACACCCCAGGAGTGTTGGCCCCAAAAATCCGGGACGTGGAGACAGGGCTCAAACTAGCTCTGGCGGCAACCATTAAGGATCACCTTGTCGGAGAGGAGAACATCGCAGACTATCTCCTCTACAGGTCTGGGTCTGGAAATGTTTTTCTTGTCATTTTGTGTGTTCTGGGTATTGAGAAAAAATGGAAAATGGAACATATGTTTTTTTATTTACTATACCTGTTTGTTTTTCTTTTGCCATTAAATTCTAAATAATCTGTGTGCATGATGTTAATTTTTTTTAGTTCAAACATGCAGGGATTGTGATGATACTGAATACAATTGTCATTCATTTTTATCCTTTTATAGGAAATAAAGATTTTTTTTAGATTGGGAACACCAGAAGAGGCTAAGATATCAGTAATATGATGTGATTTTTTTTTCATTAATTAATTACTTTTATTTATTTATTATTATTATTATTTTTTTTTCATGGTTTGGTAATCAATGTAGAATGAAAGCGTAGACTGATAAATGGATATGAAGATGTGAACAACAATTTTTGAATTTGTTTTTTTGTAGTTTATCAAATATAAGCTTTTTCTTGAGAGGTAGAATATGCTAATAGGTCCCTCCTTCTTAGATTGAATAAAAATGGGAATCACTCGTACGTCAAATATCTAAACCTCGAGGAACCCACAGACAACATTCGGCAGCTTTTAGGACTTGCAGCTGTAAAGTAAGTATATCTGCCTGTACGTTAGAGAATGTGTGTGTGTGTGTGTGTGTGTGTGTGTGTGTGTGTGTGTGTGTGTGTGTGTGTGTGTGTGTGTGTGTGTGTGTGTGTGTGTGTGTGTGTGTGTGTGTGTCTGTTTGTATGTCTGTCTGTTTGTCTGTTTGTCTGTCTGTCTGCTTGTCTTTATTTGAATATATTTGTACAACATGTTGTGAAGAAGGAAAAATATATTAAACTTGCCTTCATTATTTATTTGTATATTATTCATTTTTCACTTAAAAGCTGTTATATGTATGTATGTATGTATGAATGTATATTACATATACATGCACCCCCCCCACACACACACCCATGCATAAATACACATATACATACAAGTAACTGAATACCTTTTCAATTATAGTAATGGCTGGAAAAGGAAAGTGAGAACCCAGAGTGGCACCCAAGTAATTCCTGACCTGCAGCTCAGTGCGTCAAAGTTTATAAAGGGGTTCCGCATGGGAGTTTTTGGCCCTATGATCCTAGATGACCTGGAGAACATGAAGGATTGACTCACGCAGCAAAGAAGATAAACCCTAATGTAGATAAAGGTATAGCATGCCAATCCCCTGTGAGAAGGATTCGGTAAGTCCGCATTATATCACAAATCATCGAGAAAATATAATGAGCTTCTAGGAAGCCTTATTGTTTTTTTTTCATTACATGGTTTTATAAAAGTGATGAATGTTGTTTATGATTTATTAACCTTTGTGTCTACTGAGAACTTGATATAAGCATAAGAAGGTCTAGAGTTATCCTTGTATTGTAGGATCTTGGTTGTGATATGTAATTTTAGATCCCATTGTTGCACTGTCCTCTGCATATGCATGAGCCCTATACTCCAGTCTCTAGTAATGGGGTCTTGCATTGACAAACTTGGATAAATTGTCAATGCTCATAAGCACCAGTTTTTTCCATGTTGCCTTGTGTACTTTGCATTTTTGTTTTCTTGCTTTCATTCTTTCTCTTTTTCTTTCTTTCTCCATGTTGGGAGTATGAAAAAGTATCTTGAATGCTGTGGCACCTTGTAATGTTCATTAAAAGTGTTATAAAACCCTGCATTAAATAGTCAAAGTATAATATATAACAGAAAACTCTGAGCAGAGTCCTTTGTGTATGGTAACAAAATATTGGTAAATAGTTTTTTTTTATATGACTAGAGACATGATATAGATGAAAGAGCTCTCCTCCCCAAAACAAAAAGAAAGTATGTCATTATTATTTTCACTTTTATTTATTTTTTGTCTTGAAACTAAGAATTGTAATCAGTGAGACGTCACACTTGACTTGATCTCTAGAAATATACACAACAGAATAGTTAGATCATAGTTGCAGATCACAGTGCTGGCAGAATTTATAAGAAAGATTTTTGGACTGAATCATAATACTCTTCTGATTTCATGAAAGGGACCACATTAAAACAAGATACACATGATAACCTAAGCTATGAAGATAACCTAATCCATTGCAAGAGCTTCCAATGGGTTTCTCTTCATTTCTGTATAGTTTTGTCATGTGTGTTTCATAGTTTAAACTGTAATACCTGGAATGAGATGTCTTGAAATACTTTTGCAGATGATTAAAATTTTGTTCGAAGACAATGGAATAAAGTAAAAAATAAATAAATAAATAAAAATAATAAATAGGTATATCTAATGATAATGATAACAATACAAAAATACATAGCAGGAAAAAATGTGGATACTTGATGTATTCCAAGCATTTGACAAGAACATAAATCCTTAAAAGCAATTTTTTTTTTGTTTTAACCAACATTACACATCTGTTTGTCTCTTGTTCCATTTTTTACCATATGAAAATACTATATACATGGTTTAAGTACTTGCCATGATAGTTTCCTCCCTTGACTGATTTTTGTTAATTGTAATCATTTTACATGAGTAAATCTTAATGCAGATTCAGAAATGTACCTTTGTATATTTAAATGCATTCTTCAGATTTTACCTGGAGTATTGCAATACAGGGTATTCTTTGGTGTTTAGCTGGATTTCCTTTGTAATCTAGTTTGAATCATAATATTTGTTAGAAGCTTTATATGTTGTCTGCTTGTTGGTTAGCAGAAAAAAAGACCCATAAAAGACAAGAATGTAGTTAGAAAATTATGCAAACAATTAAATAATGCAATGTCTATGTAGATTTGTATGTCTAGATTTTGTAGCATTTTTGTGCTGGTGTTCTGTAAAACTAAACAGCAGAAGTGATAGGACTAGAGGACACAAAAAGCACTGGCCCACGTATGCAAATTTATCTGGATTATCAACACAGGCATGTCTGTAGGTAAGGGAAAACAAGAAATGAAATGCACATTTTTGTAGGCAGTGGAATATTCTAATCATTGTTGCTTACTTGTATTTGTAAATGGATGAAATACAAATATATAGTAATACAAATTGGATAGATGAATTCAGAGATTTCAATATGCAGTATGTGTGATTGGCACCACCATTCTGTAAATGCAGTACACTGAGCAATAGTGGTGATTTGATTAGCAATAGCTGCACATTCCTGTGTTCACTAAATATATATAAAATACATGAACCTCTTCTATGGTGCTTCTGAAGTATATAATAGCAATAAGAATAATATGTATGGGTTGAACCTCTCTGATCTGGAATTCTACTGTTTGGCAGATCCTGTTGTTTGGCAAAGTTTTTGTTTGCCTGATGGCCATTTGTGGTCACTGGTGCTAGTATTATAAGGTTTGGCACACTTTGTTTATATCTTTTACCAATGGTTTTCTAGGCTTCAAGTGATATTTCTTTTGCTGTTATCCTGTGACCATGACCAAGTGATCAGCGATTATTAATGTGCATTGAAATGGTCTGTAGCCCAAATGATATTAATTGTTGACATGTACATAGTGTGTTTTGGTACTGTAATTCTATTGTTCAGATATTTCTGTAGTCCAGCAGCAGTCATGTCCTGAGTGGGCTGGATTTGAGAGGTTCAACATGTATGACGATATAATGCTAGTCATGTTATGGTTGCTCAGCTATAGGTAGTTACTTGTTATTCTGATTTGTTATTGAAATCTACCAAAAATCACAACTGTATATTCTTTGTTATATTAAGGCAAATTGCATTTGAGATTGGTGATGACTGGCTGAATGCATGTTGGTATAACTTTCACAATCAGTATGTCAGTAATCTAATAATTATCAGTACCAG